TTTATCGAATGAGGGCCAACAAGGAATATGTGACCTTAAATACAATTCTCTCGGAATTACTAGATAGAAAATTTGACGACATTGGCAGAACAAGTCTATGACAAGTGATACATAACTTGTGTTTCAAATTTCAAATGGAGGATAACAGAAAGGCCTTTTGTGAAAGAAGTTTTCTCGTTCAGAAGAGAATTAACTTTCTAAGAAAATATTCTAAATTTAAAGAAAAAGGTGCGAATTTTATATATGTAGACGAAACATGGATATTTTCTAGGGGTGCAACCAAGAGAATATGGCAAGATGATAACGTAAAGTTCGTCAAACATACCAATGGAAAAGGGAAGCGACACATAATTTTACGTACAGGAGTGAAATCGGGTTTTATAGAAGGTGCAGATTTAATATTTTCATCTAAATCAAAATCCAGTAACTATCACGATATAATGAACACAGAAATGTTTGTAAAATGGTTGCATGAAAAACTTCTCCCAGGTTTAAGTGAGCACAGCGTAATTATTTTAGACAATGCACCTTACCATTCTGAAGTATTAAACAAAAGTCCAACGAATTCTTGGACTGTTTATAAAATTAAGGAATGGTTGACAAATAAACATATACCATTTCCTCAATATATATTAAAATCAGAATTACGAGTATTACGCTTGTCAAATATACAAGCAGAACCGAAAACCTTTGTTGTGGATCAGATTATTGAAAGTTACGGTCATCAAGTTTTACGTCTGCCACCGTATCATTGCCAGTTTAATCCCATCGAATATATATGGGGAATAGCAAAACAATATTATGACAACCATATTGGGCCTAATGGTTATAGTGACGACGCAGTTCGGGAAACTTGGCGAAAAGCACTTTCAATTGTAACTCCAGAAGTGTGGCGGAACTGTATAGTAGAGTTTAAAAATGATTCTATCGTGTCATTCCGTTTGCACTTCATTGCTAAAATGTATTACCTATTTTATATCATTCCTTACACCATAAGAACGCAAAATCGCCTGGTCGTCAAAAAATCGTAGTGTGCAGGGGGTAGTTAGGGGTGGTTTTCCAAAAAATATCAAAATTTTTTTTTTGCTTAATTTACATCTACACGCCATTTTTAATCATCTGCAAGAGTTTTGTTTCAAAATTCCAAGAGAAAGTATTTTATTTTTAATTTTAAATTACCTGCCCAACACGCTCTTATATGGAGTTCCTTAATATTAAATGGCTCGCGCTGAAACATCAAAATTGCAATATCATTTACACCGTGAAAACTCAAAAATGAAAATTCTAATCAAAAAACACTTTTAATAAACGTTGTAGAGCAAAGATCAAGGATTAAAATACTTTTTAGAAATTAAAAATCTAATAAATGGTTTCGTCAAAAAACTGTAAAATGTAAGAGCTTGTCCTGACGACCGCTCTCTGACGCGGAGATGCGGGGATGGTTGAAATTCTCTTGGCACGCTGTTGTATCTAGATGGTACAGTCGTCCGTATGTATTTTTGAGCCTCGTAAGTGGTTTTTCGTTTAAAGCAGCAGAAAGTACCTATATTGTTACTATAGCGAGGCGTAACGGTGTGATAATCAAAGATACATCATAAGAATATTATAGTGGTTTTCAGTTTATAATTTTGAGTATTTTTAAATATTTTTTAAAAGTTATGTTAAATAAATTAATAAAAGTTAGATATTTACAAAACACAAATATAATCAATTTAAAAATCCTTTTATTAATAAGTATTGCTGGTAACAATAATTTATACATTTCTGCTAAAATTCGCGTTAAAATAGTCGGAAGATAGGATACTTTACCTAATACTTCTTTTATAATTAACATTCAACCTTTTTAATAAAGTATTTGATAATAACGTGTGACTAGGCATATTATTGGTGCTGGAGTCGGTGTTCCGTAGTAGAATCTTCTATTACTGTGAATAAATCAATAAATGAATAAATAAATAATTTATTAATATTCTTATAAAATTAGCTTACAGCATTTAGTCAGACTCGGAATTTTCTTCACTCTCAGATAATATATTCTGGGAAGCTTCTGTGTTTTTTAGGTCTTTATTTGCACATGTAATTTGAGCCATACAATTGCAGGACCCAATGCAACAAATTTGTTTTTTCTTGCAGGAACATTGTGGCCCGTTGCAATCTAGGAAAAATTTTTAAATTAATAATATACTAATAATAATAATAAATAATTTACCTTTTTTACAATTGCAAGTATTTAAAGCAGAAGTGTCCTCAGGTAGTATTGATTCTGTACTTAAAATTGGTACCAGTTTTCCATTATCAATTTTCCAGCCACACTCTGATACTTCTGGTAAAGATGGTCTGGGTATCGTACTGTTCAGCCATATTTTAGTCTGGTAGTGCACACGAAGACAATGCTGTTTTAAAGTATCTAAAGTTGGAGGTAATTTGCTGATCGGCTTTGAGGACGCTAAAATCCCTCTAAGGTTGTTTATACAATGGATATTTTCGTTATTTGTATAAAATCGCATTACAAACTTAACCATTTTATTAAAATCTTCTTCTTCTAAATTATCACTTATGCCAACATTACTAAGTAAATTGTGGTGTGATAAAAATACTTTCCAGCATCTTTTTTTGCCCATTCCTACAAATTGACTGGTTGTGTCAGTGCATGAAACGCTGGTAGACATTTTGTCATTGAATTATCCATTTTCAATTCATGGATTGCTATAAATCTTTTGGTTTCTTTGGTTCCAACCTTTATCCAAATTTCCGGCGTCAGTGTATAGTACTGCTTATTAAATCCATCGTGTCGTGTTTCTAGAAAAATATTACATGTCAATTTACCTTTCTTCATCAAAAATGGGGTGCATTAAAAAAGTATATAAAAAACTTACATAATAATACTTATATGTATTGTAAAATAAGCATAAATTTAAAAAATTCTGTACGAAAAAGAGACAATATTTATATAGATAATATTTTATAAGCATCCAAATAAAATCAATAATCGACACATTTTTTTTTTAAATTTCAGTCACAAACATTAAATAAGACACTTGGGATTTTGTTTTTTAGCGAAACTGCTATTGTCCCAAATATTTTTTTATATATCCTACTATATATTACTACTGCGCATTACAAATAGTATATGTAGGAACTTACCTGTATTTATCAATAAAATGAAATAGCAGCTTAAATATTATAATGTTCGAATAATTCTGAAAAACAGTTAACAGGGATACTTAATGTAACTAAAAGTTGAGACCACAACGTAACAACACAAAAACATCAACACTTTACTCATTTGAAATATGCTGTAATGGTAATGGAGCACACATGCACCCTCTAAGTAGGTACTGTTTTAAACGAAAAGCATCCATCTAGACTCGAAAACACATACGGACGGCTTTACATAGAGATACAACAGCGTGCCAAGCGAATTTCATCCATCCCCGCAGCTCCATATCAGAGTGCGGTTGTCACGACATGCTTTTACATTTTACAGTTTTTTGAAGAAAATACTTATTAGATTTTTGATTTAAAAAAAGCATTTTAATCCTTGATCTTTGTTCTAAAACTTTTATAGAACGTCTTTTTTTGATTAGAATGTTCATTCTTAAGTTTTCACGGTGTAAATGATATTGCATTTTTGATGTTTCAGCGCGAGCCGTTTTATATTAAGGAACTCCATATAAGAGCGTGTTGGGCAGATATTTTAAAATTAAAAATAAAATACTTTCTTTTGGAATTTTGAAATAAAACTTTTGCAGATGATTAAAAATATTGTGCAGATGTAAATTAAATAAAAAAAAATAAATGCTATTTTTTGGAAAACCACCCCTAACTACCCCCTGCACACTACGATTTTTTGACGACCAGGCGATTTTGCTTTCTTATATTGTAAGGAATGATATAAAATAGGTATTACATTTTAGCAATGAAGTGCAAACGAAAATCGTTTTTAGAAGGAATTTCTTAGCGTTTAATCTCTACTAGTATATCCAAGTGCGAGAAACTAATAGAAGATTGGTGGACTCGTGAAAATAAAATAAACGAAATAAGTCCAATCATAATAACAATTAATGGTGATGACAGTGATGATGATGACGATTATGATATTTTGGATGATAATGACTGATTTACATTTTTGTTGGCAAGTTCAATTTTTTTATTTTTCATTTGAAATTCTCTATATGGAAAAAATTTTATGTTAGAAAATATTTTATTTGAGCTAAATAACCCTCTTATTATACATAGACCATATTTTATGTGTGAAGTGTAATATAAAATTATTATTAGTTTTATAATAGCCACATTAGGCTCCATTAATGAAGAAGTTAATTCTGCTCTCAATTATACAAAAGATTCTCCATTATTATTTAATTAAAAAGTTGTACATTATTTTTCATTTCATTTAACCAGTTGATATTTCCCCAAAGAACAGGTCAAACTTTTGGGTACTTACCTGGAAATACTCATAAAATTTTTAATCCGAAACCCGCGTAAGTATAGCAAACAGACTATACATTGATATTTGGCTCTCTTGACTAATAAGTTTGCCGACCACTGTGTTAGGAGAAGGGTAATAAAACTATAGTCTACATTAGCAATAATTCTTACTATTTTTTGAAGACGAAATAGTTTGATTGCGCTAGATGAATTTCTTAGAAAAATAACACCCTATGTTTTTTTATTGATGTATTTTAAAGATATTATTAAGCAAACAGGGTGTTGAACTTTTGCCTGACAAATAAAAATATATATTTTTTAAATAGAAAACTCTGTATTTAATTTCAGTTTTAGAATGCTTTGGTAATACTGTATTTAACCCTAGAATTTTATTAACAAATATTGCAATTATTTTTTAGTAAATTAGGGGATGAAGCAGTCCCCAAATTAAATTATCATAATTTGAGTAGGTTTACAATGATTTCAAAGTTGTTTAAAATACAGAGATAAGATAACGAATACTTAGACCGTTGTATTTTACGATCTTATTAACCAGTAGCGTACTTAATATGGAATCCCGGCTAGATTTGATAACAACACAATTATCAGGATTGGTTACAAGTATTAATGATATTCGTACAATGCTGGTTTTGCAAAATGATAAAATTGATTTGTGTATTGCAAAAATTAATACTATGGAGACGAAAAATATAGATATGCATTCTAAGATCTCCGAACTTGAAAGACAAGTTCAGTCAATAAGCACTAAAGACCTATACAGTGAGTTTAGAAATAGATTTGAAAGAGAAAACAATGTTATCATGTACGGTATAGAAGAATCATTAGATACTGAAGGAGCAGTTAAGGACATATTGAATAAGGTTTATAGACTAGGACAGTTGCAAAATAATAACAGCGTCCCTCGTCCTTTAAAAATTGAGTTTCAAACAAAAGAAATAGCTCTATCAGTATTACGTAACAAACTTAAATTGCCCAAATCGAAATATCCTAATTTGAAAATTTCTAATGATTATACACCTCGTCAAAAAGAAGAGATAAGTTCGGTGTTTAAGGAACTAGAGGAACGAAAAGCTAAAGGAGAAAACTTGAAAATAAAATTCTTTAATGGTCAACCGCAAATTATTTCTGGAACAACAAAAATAAGACGTGAAGATTTCTCGCCTAATCAAAATATACCAAAAATTACCAGAACCGAATAAGCTCCTTCAAAAAACTGCTAGTAACTTTTTGGAATTGTCATGGTTATAGAAATCTACAAAATTTTATTTCTGCTCCAAGTTCTCCAGATATTATTTGTATTGGTGAAACATGGATCACTACGGAAATTACCCAGCCACCATCAAATTGTTTTAAAGACTTTAGTGTAATAAGTGTCTGCGCGGTAAAAGAGAAGTCATTAGGTAGAGCCAGTGGTGGGTTGTGCATCTTTTATAGGAAATATTTTAGTGCTAGTGTATTATGTAAATCCGCTTGGTGGATCATTGTTTTATTTTCTTTTAGGGATTTCAAAATAATAATATGCAATGTATACTTAAAACCGTCTTTAAATATTGATAATATTTTAGAAGGCTTTCAAATAACATTGACAGAAATATTAGAAAGATATCCTGATGTACCTATAGTAATTGGTGGTATCAAATTTGGGCAGTCTGCCCAGTGAGATCCTTGAAAACTCAAATTTGTTTGAAGATAGACTTAGTTTAGATACAACCGTAAATTCTAGAGGTCGGTCGCTTCTTGACTTTATGTTCAATAATTGTCTTTCTCTTCTTAATGGCAGATCTTCACTGGACAGACCTGTTACATTTACCTATATAAGTAAGATGGGTAAGAGTGTCATGGACCTTGTATGGGTGAGTAATGTTCATATTACATATGTTGATAATTTTTTCGTGGGTTCTGACGATTTCTTATCAGATCATTTCCCAATAAATATAATTTTAAATTATAATATAGAAGATTCTTCTATTCTGCTCTCTGCTAATAGCATTATTACTAATGAATCTCTTATTTGGAAAAATGACTTGCTTTTAAATTATAAACTTGCTATGCGCAGTTCTAACAAGGTGACATTTTTAACTGAGGTAAACAACTGTTACGATAATTTTTGCGATGCTGTATATGAAACTGCAAAATTTTTAGGTTTAGTAAAAACAATCTACAGCCACTCAAATTCTAATCATAAGAATAAACCTTGGTTTTACAGTGTATGTGTTGATGCAAAAAAACAACTTAAAACCGTGCTAAAAAATGCAAATGAAAATAAGTTTTCTGATCATACTAAGAAACAGTATATTGAAACTAAATATAAATACAAAAAACTTATTTCAACTAAAAAACAAGAATATCATAATGAAAGCATATCTAAACTCTCCAATGTATCAAATGCTAAAGATTTTTGGTTGACTATTAAGCAGTTTCGCAGAGTTACAAAAATAAAAACGCTTCCGTCTCATGTTTGGGATGCTTTTTACATGGAAATGTATTCAACTCAAATAAATACCGATATTTATTTTTTTGATGTTCGTCATCCATACGAACACTTGCACAACTCCGATTAACTAATAAATTTCGGTTAAAATTTACACTTAATATTAATATATATGTAATAGATCCCAATAATGTTTGCACGGTATGTAACATAAATGTAAATGAATCTCTTACACATATCTTATTCGATTGTCCAATATATAATGTTATGAAACCGAAAACAAATTGTTTAAACGATCTGGAGGCTTTAATCTATGCATTAGAAAATATAACCGAACCAGATGCATGGTGTATATTTTCTTATATATGCAATGTTTTAAAATTAAGATCATTTATTTTAAATGAATACATTATAATTAAGTAAACTTTCAGTAATAGGGTTCACGGGTGCTGGTCGATATGTAACTGAATTTTTTTTATTTTTATTATTTTTTTTTTTATTTATATCGCATAAATTTCTTTATGGTCGCCCTATGATCAGCATTAGTGAGCATTAGCTACTACTGGACCTATTGTTACTTTTGTTTATTACAATTTTGTTTTGAATTTTTTATTTTTTTTTTGTATATATTATAAAACCTTAACTCTTGCTGTAACTTAGGTTTATAAGCAATAAACGTATTATTATTATTATTAGACCTGATGATGACATAATGCTGAAACTGGTTGTCATATAATCAACAAATTATATTTATGTGGGACTAATTTTGAGTAATTTTTTACCGTACATATACTTAATATTGTTACGCAGTACCCTGCAGTAGCCTGCGGCTATCATAGGAAACGTACAGGTAGAAAAAGAGGTGGAATGTTACTCATCACTCTACAGTGTGATGCGGTCGTCATAAGTAAAAGTACAAGTAAAAAAAGATAAAATATTCCAGAAATGTCCATAAATGTCATTACCGGTCAAGAATAATCTAGATGACAGTTCGAGAAGGTTAAACAAGCTATATAAGTCGAAAACCTGATGTCAGAGTTTCAGTTTTATGATAGACGTTACATGTTAATGTTATCAGTTGAATAGCTGTTGTAAAAGTTGAGTTCAAATAAATTACGATACCAAAAACCAGCGTAACAATATAATGGAAATCACAGAAATATAGAAAGAGAAAACCTCCAACAAGCTGATACATCCTAAATAATAAAATGAACATTTTAAATTTTCCAATCAAATTTTGTTTATTATTTAACATATAGTACATCAACCAATAACTATCCTCTTTTTTCCTACACACGCCAATGAAAAAAAAATTTATCTAAAAACGTTGAGAGTCGCAGTATTTTCACTTCAATCGCTATTCATTACCACTGCCATGCAAAGGCAGAATATGATGTACTCGCAAAAATAGAGTTTTGAGAAAAATTTATTTTAAACTAAATTTGTTTGCCAAATTGTTAAATATTTCACAAATGATTTTATATTCACAATTTAGTATAATTTTTACCTGAATAATATATTCCATAGGTAAATTACACATAAATATTAGCAACTTATTTTTTTGGCTGGTTACATTATTTATCTAATAACAAAAATGGCAAAAAAACTTGGGCAAAATAATGTAGAGTACTGTACGTTTTTTTTTTATTGTTTTGATAGTATATAAGAGAGGGACTATATGGCTAAAATATTGTACTGCCTTTACATTTTTTAGTATTTTTATATTTCAAAATAAAAAAAAAATAACAAAAGAATGTCTTTAATGCAAATTAACTTTTAATTTTTATTTAGGAATTCTTACAAGAAGCTCAAAAATTTAAAATTTCAAAATATTTCATTAATAACATTCTTCCAATAAATCTGGAACATTTAAATTTGTGGGCACATTTTCCCAAAATAACCTTCTTGGTGGTTTCATCGCAGGTACTTAGGCTTTCATAATAGCATCCTTCTTTTTAGGAGATACTCCACGAACCGTGGTAAACGGTTTGGGTATATTTAGTTCTGCTTTTCGTTTAGTTAAATTTTTTGTTTCTTTATATTGTTCGTCACGAAAATCAGTTTTATAAAAAAAATCTTGTTGGCGTTTTATAAATCGTACTTCCACTATATCTTCTATAAATGGCACATCGTCTCCCACAGATTTTTTATTTGCTGAACCAGTAGCACTTTTACACACATTCTCAAATTTCATAAAGTCTGAAATTTCAAGACATATAACTTTATTTCGGGACACTGCTTTATTACAGGCCTCAGCAAAATCGTTAAAATCTTCAACATTGCCAATTTTTTTTACATATTGCTCTATTTTTCCATGAAGGCCATCCGCAGCCATGTATGTATGACCAGTTAAAAGGTATTTGAGAGTTATATTTTTAGTTGTGCAATACTCAGAATTAATATAAACAATTAGAGCAGAATACAAGACCCAATTTTTATTTTGGCCGGTACAATTATCCATCCAAATAATGAGGCTTTCTGCATCTCTTTGCAACTAAATAAACTTAATAAATGAACAGGCCACGTCTTCGGCTCTTCGCCCAGCTATGCCTTCATGCCACAAAAAGCAATAATGTGGTGATTTCTTTGATTTTCCCATAACAGCAAAGGTTTCGTTGAATGCGATAAGACGTGAAGTAAAAAATGAGTCTTTAACTTTGGGCATCCTGGGCAAAAGAAATACCTTTTGCAAGTCCGCTGAGTAAATCTTTGTTTCTGAATCCTCGTTTTCAGCATCTTGTGCATATAAAGTTCTTCTTAACTTAACCTAAAACAAATTATTATAAAACTTAAAAGCAAACACATTTTTTTACTTACTTCTTCTAAATGTAGCTGTTTTTTATTTATATTTTCTTCAGTTGGAGTTAAATCCAATCCAATGCAAGTACTGCATTTATCTGCATCGGCTTGATAAAATCCAATATTCAGTTCATCCAAAACCTTTCGATACAATTCATAGGAAACTATTTCGTTCGGATGATTACTGTTGTAATCTTCTTGCATTGCTTTTATTGTTAAATCTGGCGGAAGATATAACCGTTTGTACTTTTTTGTACTTTTTTTGTACATTAAAACATGCATAATACCTCAATTTGGACAAAATTGCGAGTACATCATTCTGCCTTTGCACGGTAGACCATAGTAAGGTATAAACAATTTATGCGAAATGTCATCGTTAAGTCAAAAAGGTGACGAAAATTAGACAAAAATAGATTTGTTTGTTTAAATATTAATTTAATATTAATATTAATTTTGTAAACAAATAAATTTAACTTTACATTGTACTTAAAAATTGGTTTTTTTTTAAACTTGTTGTGTCCTCACAAATTATGCAATTTTTGATTTATTGACTATTTTATAAACAACAAAATGTTCTAAAAAAAGTTTTACCTCTTGTAGTAAAAAATAATTATTTTCAACCTTTTCTTAGGGCAGGAACAGCGACTGGACATGGTAAATATCCAGGATTACATAGAAATACTGGAAGATTTCCAAAGGACTTTCTATTTGGAGTAGCAACATCATCTTATCAAATAGAAGGAGCATGGAACGAAGATGGAAAAGGTCCCAGTATCTGGGATAATTTTACACATAGATTCCCGTCGCCTATAAAAGATGGCAGCAATGGAGATATTGCCTGTGACTCCTATCACAAATATAAGGAAGATGTTGCCCTTGCTTATAATCTTGGTGTGAAACTGTACAGGTTTTCTTTCTCTTGGTCAAGGTATGAAGGAATATATTTTTTTTAATCAACAAATTAATTCA